TGTGTGTGTGTGTGTGTGTGTGTGTGTGTGTGTGTGTGTGTGTACAGTGAAGTATGACTACCATTGCCAATATGGGATTAAATCCAGAAAAGTTGGGGAAGGATAAGCATCCAAAGTCATTGCCACATCCTTGAATTATCAAGTTATAGTTCACACCCCTCAGTTCCTTATATTGTGAGCTTCTAAAATAGCAGGTATAGCCAGGCGAGGTGGCGCACGCCTTTAATCCCAGAAACTCGGGAGGCGGAAGCAGGTGGATTTCTGTGAGATTGAGGCCAGCATGGTCTACATAGTTCCAGGCCGGCTGGGGCTTAGGGAGACCTTTCTCAAAGACCAAAAAGATTTAAATAAATTAAATAAATAATAAATGTTTGTTCAAATACAAGCTAAATCAATTTTCCCACATTGTAGGTACAAGTTGTTAACTGACTTCCTCCTGTATACCTTAGGGAACACCTCACCAGCCATTTTTTAGTGAAAACTTGAGACATCTTAGAGAAAGACCCGCCACTTGTTAGCCTGGCGTTCCTGTTCAGGTTCTAGAACCTTCTCTTCTAGCTTGTACCCATATTTGTACATTGTTTCCATGTTTGTTTTAGAGTCACTGGGTAGTTAATACAGAAAGAAGTCAACTGTACTAATCTCCTTAGATTTGCATACATGTTGGGTCGCCATACATTTTCCTAGAATTTAATCAAGCCATAATCAAAATTAAAATTACTCTGATTAGTTATGGCAATATAGTACATCATAGAAATATTGATGTCCTATAAAAACACATTACCTTCTTTCCTGTCATTAAAAAGAAGATAGGATGGGAAATGATACTGAGCACCTACTGTGTGCTATAGGTTAGAGGGATAGAGAAGTAAAAATTAAATCTCCGTCTGCATCACACTTGGGTTGGGGGAAAACTCAGTTCTGCTACATAGAAACAAACATGTTCATGTTGTGTGTGGTGGTTTTCACCGGTCTAGAGAAACAGAAAACTGCAAAGAGGGTTAATGAGGGTGGGGGGGTGCGGATTTCATGTGAGGTGAGCAGAGAAGTTCTCACAAGACTGAAGAACTGAGGGCCAGGAGGAGGGAAGGGCAAGGCCCACAGTGGGTTATGAGAAGAGCAACAGAACACAGGGTAGCCCAAAGCTGGTGAGGGCAGGACTTAGAGGGAAGAGAAGAGAAAGGCTCTCCTTGGGCCCATGGCCAGCCAAAGTCAGTCAGAGAGAATAAAAAGAAAAGGGAGAAAGTCGACTTCAGGTACAGGGCAGTGGCTGGCGACCTCCTGTGAGTCTTGAGGCATGGGGCAGGGGTCTCAGGAGCCAGGGCAGCTGAGAGATGTGGTGGCAAAAAGGAAGAACAGAGCCTCCCTCATGGGGAATTCAGGGTTCCTGAAGAGAGATCCTGGACTTCTTTGATGACTGATATAAGCAGGACATATTAACCAGTGAATAATTATTACCACCTAGTGACATATGGAAAGACCAGCGGCCTCTAGTGATGGTGAGACGAGGCTCTGGGAGGGAAGCAAGTCCAGCACCACCTCGCTCCAGGGGGACTCATGGCAGCTGGGCATACTCTCCAGCCCTCTCTGAGTGCTCTAGGCAGCTTATAGTACATAACAAAATGAAATCTTTATATTAATGTGTCACGCTGTCACTGGAGTAATCACTTTGTCTCTGCAGCCTGGCTTTTCCTCAAACAAGAGGAGGAGAGGTGTTCACACATCTCTTAGACTGCAAAGCGAGCCATAAATATTAAGGGCTGTACTAAAATGTTCCTGATTTTAACTATTGTTTATATTCAACCAATACACTAAAGGGGCAGCCACAAAATGAACATTAAGATAAGTATAATGTTCACTTAGCACACGAACTGATAGGACTGAAACAGGTACCAGCTCATTGCTGAGCCCACAGCTGGATGCAAATCAACCATCTAATTTCTTTGTGATTTCTTTCGATTTTTGAGATTTTAATTAAAAAATGAATCACTGAGGCTGGGCAGATAGCTTAGCTGGTAAAGTGCTTACTGTGAAAGCATGAAATCACAAGCCCCCCAATCCTCAAAACTCACATAGAAGAAGCTGGTGTGGTGGCACGTAATCCTACTGCTGAGGAGGTGTAGACAGGAGGTCGTCTGCAGTCATTGGCCAGTCAGTCTCCCCGAATTGGCAAAGTCCAGGACAATGCTAGACCCAGTCTCAAAAACAAAGTGGATGACGTCCTGAGGAACAACACCCAGGGTTGACCTCTGGCCTCCACATGCAAGCACACACATGTGCACACATAAAAACATGCACATATACATATACACACAAATGAATCACTAAATTCTATTAACCATTCTCTTCTAAAATAAAACTTAAACTCTTTAAATTTAAAATTATATGTTGGGGGCTGGAGAGATTGTTCAGTGGTTTAGAGCACTGGCTACTCTTGCAGAGGACCCAGGTTTGGTTCCCAGCACCCATATGGAGGCTAACAAGCATCTGTAACTCCAGTTCCAGGGGGCCCAATGCCCTCTTCTGGCCTCAGCATGCATTGCATACACATAGAGCACTTATATGCATGCAGGCAAAACACCCACACACATAAAATAAAATTAAAATTTTAAATTATATGTTGATTTTAGCTCCTTGGCCCCTTCTCAGAGCAGGCTGAGTTGTAGCCACAGGAAGGGGACTTGTGGTGGCCCCGGAAAGCAGACACATTGTCACTGTTACTGGTAGAGAAAGGACGATTAGTTGATGCTTACAGAATAAACGCAAATGCTATCAGTGGCCTTGACCAGATAATGTAGGAAGGAGATGTGAGCAGTTTGGGAAGAAAGTGAACAAAACACAGCTCTAGAGAAACATAATAAAGCCACCAAGAAGTATTGAACAATTTGGAAATGTTGATGGGTAACTGAGAAATCAGCTGTGTCATTTCAGCAAGCAGCAATCAAGTTCAGGGTGTAGTCCAAGGAGGGAGGCTGAGGTCATGTTGCTGAGCCTGGCTGTTCTCCAGAGTTCCCAGGAAAAAAGAACCATGGACACCTGTGTTTCCCAAGCAGCACTTATGGTGGTACAACTGGGTCTGACTGGGAAGGACATTAAATTTGAAGCATGCCAATAGCCAGAGAGAACTAGGTAAGATGAGTTGATTACAAGTCTTGATGAGGTTGAATTAAGCTGCATGCATAGCTTGGCACAAAGTCTGGAAAGATGGAGGATACTGTTTGAAAGAGACATC